TCATTTAATAAGTTATAACAAAGATGTTTACAAGTAGGTCACTACAAGTAAACTGTCCAGTTCAAAGAACTTAACATCAGTAAAAGTATCCGTTTGATATATAGATCATTATCGTTTCGATCTCTTCTATGTAAACGGTGCTGTGATGTTGTGAAACTATTCTCCCTAAACTTGAAATAGCTCCTAGTAGTACTTCAGTTTTTATCGTAATCATAAGAACTATTTAGAAAACGACTAAACTTTGTTTAAAGTGTCGATTATTCGTTAGTAAATCGAACCTGACAGTTATGAATATTATCCCCCATCTATTACAACACAAGTGACCATTAGTGTAGGGTTTTTCCTGGTTCGATACTTTTCTAGTGATGTGCACATGTATAAATGCAGACAGTAGCACAAAAGACATTGTGATATAAGTTATGTTGGTTACTAGCCCATTAATAACAGAAAAACTTAACTTTCAGGCTACCTACTCGCTCTTCGTATGAGGATTAATTGCATATATATTCATGGAATATAACATAACTATGTAAAGTCATTTACCAGTGAATGATTGTCTTTTGACCGTAAATCAAAATCAGCAATTGTAAGAAATTTAATGATAGATCATTTGATGATTTGTTTACACATTGTACCCATAGGAAAATATGACGTTCATATGATATAAATATTTGACAAAATTAATGATTTGTTTACCAGTTCTAAAATAGGAATTTGGTTACTGATTTCATCCTATTAGTACTAATCTGATAAGTAGTCAAGGTTATAATAACTATCGACGATATGAAATATTTAAAGCGAGGTTTTCGGAATACAATTGACGCATTATTTATTTAAATACAAAACGTGAACTACTGGCTATTTGTAAGTAGTAAACTTAATTTTAACAACGTTTACAGGAACTGTTATTTCTTCTATTATACGAGATTCGGAATTTGAATAATCAATTTCCTAGATCCAGTTGATTACTGTTTTTGTAACTGAATAACATCTTTTTGGTTATGTTTACCAATAATCAGAAGCAAATAAATGCTTGATTTTCGACGGTAGTCGTTCCATAATGGTTTATGCTTCACAATTTGATGTACTTGCGACTCCTTAACTCTAATTTTTTTGAAAATTAGAGTGCAAGTTCGGGACCCACAACCCAAGAGATACACAGAAAACCACCACGAATCCATAGAAAATACAATGATACGGCCATGTTAGTATCGACAGTATCTTTAAATTGTTCTCTGGACCTAGGATTCTCCTTGACAAATTTCATTTATGTGATGCGATGATTTTTGTTCTCATTTATCTAAAGCTCTCATACAGAGTGGTATGGATTCATTTCTCTGAGTAAATATTAATGTTGAATATAGTTGATATATGTAGAACTTAATTCGTTTATGAGATGGTGGAAAAGATTTGTAGCTCAGATGGATGATTTTGATGGAGTTTTGTTTTCTGAGCTAGATGGTTTGGTCGTGGAGCTTTCGTCGTTCTTCTGAAAGACATCATCAGCATAAGCTTCATCAATATTATTGAATTTATATTTTAATTTTGCATGAGTTAAACATGAATTTCAACATTAAAAATCTTTGGCTGTTGGCAAATAATAAACGTTTTTATATGTATATTTTCTTTTTTTTTACTTTAATTAAAAACTAATATGTTATGATTAGACATAAAATTGTTTCTGTGAAATTTTAATTTTATTAACATCTTAAACAGTTTTGAAAATAATTAGACACGTTAAAAATTTAATTATCTTCATGTTAATCTACTTTAATTTACATTCTAAATGAGTTAAATTAAGAAGAAGAAGTTACGTCTCTACATATTGAATAAAATTGATTTTGTTTTGTTGCCAACATTAGTTAGTTAGTTAAATCCATGTGTTGAAACTGACAAATATTACATAACTTACTTTATTAACATGAAATTGTACGTGTAAAGAAACTATTTATGACGATCTATATTAATAGTTAATTTCTCAGAAGAATAACTTTATTGTCTTTTAACATGTCAATGAATTGGGAATATTCTACATTATTTATATCGAAGACATTTATACTGTAAAAAGAAATTTAAATAAATAAATATTGGGTCCATACTGGGATCGAGTTTAAAGATGGATTTCTTAAAGTCGCAATGAGAGGCTTTGAACTGAAAGTAAAGGTTATCAGTGGATAAATGGTGGTAAATTAAAAGAAATAAAACTGAAAATTGGATTAAAACTGAATGATTTTGAATTGATTTTCTCTCAGTGAAACTTGAGGATTGTGAAATCTATCAAATGTGTTGTTGTGGGTGTATTGATAAGTTCTTTAATATATGTAAATCAATTGTTTTGTTTCCTGAGGGATCCTCATTTGATTTATGTTTGTGATGGGAAATTTTTTGAAGATACAAAAACTCCGACTAAACCATGAAACAAGTATTGGACAAATCAGGTTAATCATATTCTGGTTGACGCATATTTATCAATTAATTTGTCTTGTATTTGTTATTTAAATTTATCTTTACTTACTCGAATAATTTACTTCAAAAGAAAACCAAATATTTACTTAGAGTCACAATCATATTCTTCACGTCTATTTATGTTCTCCAATGATCTAAATAGATGTATGAAAAGAATTTAATTGAGGTATCAGCCTAGCACATTTATTTGCTTTTTCAAATAATTTAGAACCATGATTACTAACAGAATCAATAATGAATTACAATCCTATATGGTTGATTAGGTTTCAATATATTACTTCCTCAACATCTTTCAAATCAATCACGTATATCAGCTGGTTCAAACGGTGGAAAAATTGTTTCATTTGCAACGCGATACATCTAAACACGTATTAGTAACTTCAGTGATTAGATAATTAGTTATTTATAACTATTTTGAGAAACCAGTATGAAATCTAATCGGAGGGAACATGTATAAAGAAGTTGAAGAAACTAAATCAATTTTAATCCGTCGCTTGTTAGAATGTAACGCTTCATTTAAAGGTAGAGATGATAGAATCATTTCCAACTTTATAATACCATGCATCTTACTCAAGACTTTCCACTGAAATTTGCTTTTTCATACAAACTACTAAAAAGTAGTATAAAATAAAATAGCAAAAATAATACGATTACTTTGGCTGATTTTACCACGTCTAAAGTAGTATGTAAATCATCACTGGTTGTTTTCATAAGTAAAATTAAAGAATGTGGACTAGATTATGTTGTTGCTCATACATTTTTTTCATGTGGTCGAAAAATCTCTGATTTTCCATTGTGTTACTGGGAAACAAGACACGTTTGATGACATTTAATACTTGGTATCTTTGACGTTATCATATCGAAAAGAATATTTAGTATAAAATCTACGTAGCGTAGATTTAGATATCAGTGATAGAATGGATACCTAACATCTGAAAGGTCGGTTTTTTAGTTGACGAACTTCAAGTGATTCAGTGCATAATGAAGATTTTTCAAGCTTACTTTTCCAGCATAACCGAATCGATACAGAAACATTATTCATTGACTACAACTTATATGAATGACATTATCTCTACTAATAACCAGTTTAAAAGTTACAGTTATCGGTTGATCATTTGTAAATGTTATTTTGTCGACGCTATCAGTGTAATAATCGCCAATAATGTATAGGTAGTGTAGTCACTATTATGAAATTATTTTGTAACTTGAATAGGCTCTTCATATAAAATAAACCCAAACCAGATGAATGAGATTTTTTTTCATCTTGTCTTCTTTGATTTAAAAACCACGTGTTCTATTACAGACTCTAATCTGTTTATTATTTGTTTTGAATATTGATTTTAATTTTTGTTGGTTTTCTGTAATAAATTACTCATTTGTATAATATTTCTATAAACTGGCTAAAAAGGTCGTTTAAGGTTGTCCACCATAGTGCAGTCTCAAATTCAAGAAATTATAGTATATACAGAATTTCCTTAAGAATAAGAGTAAGGAGTAAATATGTTAATTCTGCAAATCTGTAATAAAATGCTTTAAAGTGTCAAAATGTTTAGAAAGTCAACGAAAACAACTAGATAAATACATGAAATTATAAAAAAGATTGAAGATAGTACTATATTCTTTATAGACCTGAACGATTATATGTTTATGTGAAATGATCATTTTTAAAAGATGTTAGTTTGTTTACTTGTATTGTGGCATGTGCTACTTATGTTAACATAAGTAATATATAACGCTAGTCAGGAATAGAATGTCTGACAACAGAAGGTTGATAAGACCGAAGAGAAAAGAACTAGAACAGAAAGTAATTGGTATGGAAATGCATGAACAATAAAGCCTAAGACTATTGATTAAGACCTTACAATGAAGTATTTACTGTGTGATTTTCATATTTTAGTAAGTTGTTCTGTAATTTTGTGTTCAAACACATATTCGATTGTCCCCACCTATGTTCTCATTCATTACAGTATGTTTAAGTATTAGTGATGAGTGAAGCTAATGAGGTATAGTCGATATTATAAAATAAGCAGAAATTATAAGGAAATCAGTGAATATTTTCTAGAATATCTCTGATAAGATATACCTAAATAATGCAGTATTTTGCAAAGTAAATGAATGTAAATCATTGTAAATTACAGTAGGATTTAATCAGTAACTGTTGGATGACATTAAAATGAATTTAATCAGTGTAAATGATTGAGAATAATAGAATGTAATAACTAAATACAAAATATAGAGCTCGGATAACATTTATAGATGATGATGACCATAGAAAAGAAAACTTTAGCCAAAAGTAGATATCATTACCAAGTTTTGAATTGAAAATTTGGAATAAATTAAGCATTGGGTAGATTGTTATAAATAAATAAATACATTTGTAATACCTCAATGAGTAGAAAAATTAGATTTACTGAGGTTTCGTGACTCAGTGTAAGCTACTTCTTCAGAGAATAAATAACCAAATTAGCATTAATCCAAGTTTAAATAATACAACAGAACAATACGAATATTAGGTGCGATCAATGTCATGCCATTTCGGTCAAGGTGATTCATAAGCAAAAAGTATTTTTGTCTATATCTATTTGATAATAAGTTGGAAAAATTCAATTCATATTGTTATTATTTTATCATCTTATCATTTCATTTATAATAATTTTGATTAGTCTGCTTTAAAAAATATCATACCATGTGTTAATGGTTACCATATACTTCTTTATAGTCTATGTTTTTCTAATCACTTTGATCATTCATTTATGATTTTTGTTTATTTGAACTAAATATCAACTATATTCCGTAAATGCCACTCATGGGAAACATATATCACTAGCAAACAAAGAGGCGTCTCACGCCTTTTTATTCATTTCATAGAAATGTATCATTGGAAAGTTCTAAACCTTATTTCACTAATAGTCTTAGACAATAAATACTACTTAAATGTTTTTTCATACAAGGTTAATCATTTCTTTTTACATTTCGATAAAATAAATAATTTGTCAAACAATATTTCCTTTTATTTTTTCGTTCAAATTCATATACACTACTTAAATAAGTTACTAATAAGAAATTCATCATCATTTATTAATGAATACAAACACTCCAGACACTTCACTGTATTCTGTTCTTTTTATGAATACTATGCACACTATATATAGAATGCTTGACCTTTCTTTTTCAATACCGACTGATAAGAATTATATAGATTGACTAATATATAACCAAGGACAATTTTGGGAAGTATAATCTTAGGACCATTACTAAAGACTTTGAAATTTTTGAAGTATATCATTTGTGTATTTGTGTATGTATGTACAACACCCACACTTATAAAGAAATTTCTACATCCCACACATATGAACAAAGAGTTTAAAGAATATTATTATTATTATTATCCAGATGAGGAATTTTTCAGAAATATAAAAAATTTGTGTGGTAACTATAACCAATCACAATTTGTTTAGCCAAATATTCCCTGGGCTAATGTATTGGGAATTAGAATTTTGTCATCTCGGAAGCATAATAATATTTTTTTTAAAACACTTTATAAATATCTTCAGTGTTTATCCCAAATGAATCATTTGTCAGATAAATAGACCCATTACTTTCACCACAAAGGTCATTTTGATTACGTGGGGTTATCTCAGCGTATTCAGGATATTTAAATACGTTTCGTTCGAAACTACATGAAAACGTGGTTTTGAAACTGAATACAAGGCATACAAACATATATATTTACTAATAATCAGCATCATTTTCTTATTTAGAAGTGATTATACTGATCACCTTTTTATTATATATTATAACTTTCATGCGTAATTAAATAAACTTACTTATTCATTATCAATAATGTTGGGTTATGTAACAATTGAAGTACAAGGAGAGAATATGGAAGGTGCAGCACGTCATGCTCAAAGGTTAGCTGGGAATTTTCTTGAAGATATGGAAGCAATACAAAAAGCTTCTCGTGAAAGAGATAGACGGGCAATGAGTCATTTTGAAACTAACTCTGTGGTGAGTCTAACTTATATTTTCTTAATTTTAATCTTTTGAACATTACATATTTATTTAGAAGTAGTAATTGGTGTACAAAAATATAACCACTTTTGGAAAAGTAATCAAATATATATATATATATATATATATATATATATATATTAAGGGACTTAAAATAGATATTTCCATTGGAATATCTGAGTATTACAAAGAGAGCTATCACTTCTTGGCTTGTTTATAAAATTCATGAATGTGAGTTGCATAAATTATCATTGAAAACAAATAGTAGGATCAAAATAGCATTTCATTTTAGAACTAGCTAATAGTAATGATGATGATGATGATGAGGAGGAGGAGGACTGTAAAAGACGAGAAAATAGCTGTCAACGTAATCATTTTCAAGTTTTTAATTATTATTAACTTATTGTTCTAGATGCTCATCATTTAAAAATGCTAAGCAAACAATCATATTCTCAGTAGTTGAAAGATGATCCAAGAGTATTGGAATTCACAGAATATTTCATGTTTTCTGAACTAAACTATGTGGTTTATTTGATTTACTGTTCTTTCTTTATATATATACGAATTAATTTATCGGTATTTATGAATAAGTTAGTTTTTATGATTGTTTGTGTACTAGTTAGCGAAGTGATTTTCATCAAAGTTTTGGTTTATTGTATTATATAAAACTTTAAATTATCCATTAATCTAAAATAATTCGAGTTAAATAACATGGAATCATTTTGTTTGGTCTACTTATTAATGACTACTTATAATATGAACTATCCAATATATGAAATTATAAGTATGGTTAAAGATACTTTTTTTATGGAGAAACCAAAGTTAACTAACAGTTAGTAGAAATACTAATCTATATGTTAAATGAACATGAATACCATTGATAGATAAATGAGGCAGTTTGAAATAAATCAAAAATGTAATGCAGTACTTTAATAAAACTTTTTGACTATTGCCATTTTACTCCCTTTAAATGTGAGATCATTTCGATATAACAGTATTGGAATAAATAAACAAACACCTAATGAGAAACTTTTTTCCAAAGAACAAACATTTACATTTGTGACAAACTAGAGAAAAACTCAATCTCTCATCTCTTAGATACACAATAATAAACAAATAAATAACTTACGGTAGTCATGATTTCTTCCCTCTAAATACTTTATTTACTGAACAGTAGTAAATTTTTCATTCTTTCTAAATTAACATATTTCATGCAATACAAAATATATTTCTATGAGGGTTTTTTGTGGAGATTTAGTATTTTCAAAGTTGAAAGCGTGAGTCAGTTGAAGCTAGACCACCAGTGAAAACGTAGAAGCACTGGATAGCCATTTCGTCCTATTGTGGGACTCCTCAGCAGTGCGCATCCACGATCCCGCACTCGCGAGGTTCCAACCCAAGACCTACTAGTCTCGCGCCAGAGCACTTAACCGACAGATCACTGAGCCACCAATCCACGAAGTTTAGCGACCGTTCACCAATTGTCTTCAGTGAGCTCCTATCTCACAACAGACGTGGTTTGGACTCCACTGGTCACTGCTTCTCACTAGAACTCCTGGATTTACCTCTCGAAGTCAGTCAGTAATGAGCATATGATTATTATTATCAGAAGGGGTTTTTATGAAGATTTAGTATTTTCATAGTTGAAAGCGTGAGTCAATTGGTTTAACTTCAATTGACTCATGAACTCAACTACTAGATTACCCCTTTGATAAAAAAAATATTTGAAAACTATAAAACGAATGAGTAAATTTAAGAATTCAAATGAATATTGAAGACTTAAATTTATTTCTTGAATAAAACAACAATCATTTCACTGATTTTCATAATGTTCAAAATTATACTTTCGTCAGACAATAAATATTGATAATGTAATAAGAAGATAAAATTATCAGAACTATGTGATGATGCGTTTCGAACAATTTGATCACTCATATACTTGTTAAGGTCAACTAAAGTAAAAATGGAGGGTAAGAGGAGACAATTTGTGAGAACATGTGTGCACATAAACCTAAATGGTTGCAGAAAAAAATAAATTCAAATGATCCAATAAGAGTAGAGGATAAACATCCATCATTCTCTATTGCCAAACACATAATTGAAATAAGTCATAAGGTTGATCTTACCTCGACATTTGTGGAGTTGTACAAATGTGTAAGAGTGAGTATGTTATGGTTTATTGAAGTCTTAGCCATCCGAACATTTAATTCCCCTTTGAGTTATCAAAAACAGTTTGTTTTCACCTTAAACCTACACTGGTAATATTAGCTTATTATCCAGGGTGATGAGGTTTCAAATGTTTTTCACATTATTTCATTTATTATCCTCATCTCTTCTTACTCTCCATTTCTAGTCTAGTTGACCATTTATTTTTATATATGAATGTTCCTAGCAAGTATATGAGTGATCAGATTGTTCGAAATGCATTGCCGTAATATATCATCACATAGTTCTGATAATCTTCATCTTCTTATTACACTATCAAAATTTATCAAAGAGACTAATTAAATTCAATTGGTATTGTTTGTTTAAATCTTTCCATTGATGTTTAAGACGGTAATTGATCAGTCTCTTATTGGCATATGTACATACTGTGCATATTGCCTCGATACAGCCTTAATTCACAAGACTAATTGCTTTAAATTGCTTTAAAGACGACTCTCTGCACATTTTATTAGGTGTTAAGTTTGTTAGAATAATATTTTTTTCTTTGATTCAATATAAAATTTGTTTCAGAGACGATTGATGAAAAACGTCACACTGAATAGAAAACAGCTTAGTAACATAATAACATAAAACATTATCTGATAGACTGGTATGATAACAAGTGGTTTTTTAATATGAACAGAAAAATCAAGTTACCTAGTTACAAAAAATATAAACCTTTTTTAAAAATACAAAAAAAGAAAATATTCTATTTGTTGTAGTTTTCATCAAATGCTTAGGTGATATCAGTACTTGATTAAAACTAGCCTTGAATTTATATTGTGTGAAATTAGTGGATCCATAATGCAGTCAGTACCGAAGCTAATAACAAGTTTTCCTATAGAAATACAAAGTTTAGTCGTTGTGGGAAAAAAGATTGTGATTAATAGCGGAATCCATTTTGGTACTCATCGACTAAATTTACCTGCTTTCCATCATTGAATTTTACATCAGTTCTATAACCTAGTACTTTTTGCTTTAAACTGCCAACGGGTTATCGATTAAGCATCGTACAGGATGTATTTCTGCCAATAAAAATGATCGCAATTCGGTCAATCATATCAACATCAAGACAATTCAAACCTTTCTAATGGTGATATAAAGAATGTTGTCTGGAGAGAAAGAGTTAATCATTTCTTACCTCTACGGATATCATACTTAGTAAAATAAACGTTCTTCAGGTGAAAATATAGAGTTGTTCAATGCACTAAACATTTAAGTGACTTCATTAAACTTCATCCTTTGGAAATCAAACTGCATTTTTGTTTCAAGCTATACAAATAAAAAATAAAAACCAAATTTAATCAAATAATGTAGAAATAGAGGTCAACTTTTCGACTAATCAGTATAAAAATTTTGTGTTTATGTTTCTAACTCTTTGTTACCTTAAACCCATCTGTTTTTACTATTGCCCAGTTACAGATTATAATTTTCTTGTTTATTTTAATGTAAATATACAATAAAAAGGTTCTTTGTTATTTTTAACGGAAAACGAAACATTGGAACCAATTACACAGAAGAATATGGAGAACAGACTTTGGTGAACACCAATATGGGAAAACGAAATGTCAGTCAAAGATGTGTCTATTAACTAGATTTGGGACTACCTGTTCTCCTAAATAGTATTTTTCCAAAGAAGAAACATTATGTTAGAGCTTTCAGGTTGTATAAGAACCTTTATATTTCTTTTTGAAGGAATAAGATTAATCCCATATTGGAGGGTTATAAAGTTTCTTCTAAGCAGTCATATTAGAAATGATTTCAATATATTAAATTTCTCCAGAACTAATTGTCAGGATCATATGATGTTTAAAATACATAAATTGACCAAAATCTACTAGACTCACCTGTATATATGATGTAACATATTAGATTGGTATATTCAATAATCTATTCACAAATGCGGTAAAGTGAACTACAAGTGTTCTTATCAACTGACTACAAATAAGATGAAATTATTAATAACAAGACTTCTGTTGAAATTAAACGACATAATTACCTTGAAAGTTTGCTTTAATCTTTCAGATAGAGTTCATGTCAATCTAGAAAATTTTAATCATTCATTTGGTTTCTACAATATTCCTCTACGTTATGTTTTAATAGGAAAACAATATACATAAACATTAATTAAGTCCTAACATTAGATACATTTCAAATATTGTCGGTTAGGTTATCAGGCTAAATTGAAGTGAGAATTCAATAAAAGTTATTTCATATGAATATTTCTCAATGTTTGAACAGAATAATTGATAAAGATTAGGAACCGATATAAAAGACATTGTGTAAAAACCATAGTTGAACAAATCTCGGCTATTGGATTTTAAATTATTCCAACGTTTCGTCCGGTAACATTATTTGGACTTCTTCAAAATTATCAAAAATATATATAACGCTTATTAAATTAGTCTACAAGAAAGGTTTATTCACTTATTAAAAGACTAATAATTGAATGAAGAATATTTTTTTCGATAAATCCTCTTCAGACTCTACAATTATATATCCGAATTAATAATCCGAAAAATTGCCAAGTTAAGGGTAAGTTGCATCTTAGATGACATATTGAAATTTCAAAAAATAACTGACGAGAAAGATCTCAATAATAAGAAAAAGAATGAGCTTACCAGATCTTCGAAGAAGCTCAGGGACCAACTGACTATTTCATCAGGTTTATATGAAATGATTAAACCAATGGGAACCTATCGTCCAAGATTGTATGAATTGCCAAAGATACACGAACTGAGGATCCCATTTAGACCAATTTGCTGATCATACAATATCTAAATAGCTGGTAA